ACAGTACATAAACATATAAACCCTGAGCATTTGACTTCGTTTCTTTGGACACTTGTTTCTGTTGTCTTTACTTCCATTTGTTTGTGGATCCTGAATGTTTGGATAGTTGCTGCATTTCTGGGGGTTATGGAAGAGGGGTTGCTGTGTTGAACTTGGGAGGGAAACTTTATCACTTAGGAACCTGTTCTGATAATCCTGGGGAGTGCTCCACTACCACCAAGGAAGTAGACTAGGCAGTGGCTAGGACTTCATCATCACCATGCCGGGCACAGCTGAGACTGAATAGGAGGGACCTACGGGAGAAGGGGACAGCTTTGATAAGTGAGGTGGTGGTGGTTGACGAAGGGCTAGGTGCAGATCAGGATGGATGGATTGCTGAGTTTAGGTTTGGGCGGAGAAGAGAGAAGTGGATTTGTTGAATTTGAGTTCCTATTTAATATTTAGAGTCTACACTAGGGAGTTCACAACTGTCTTTAACTCCAGTTCCAGGGGATCAAATGTCTAATTCTGGCCTCTGGGCACCCTTACTCCTCTGGTGCACATAGACTCACACAGGTTCACAGGCATACACATAAGTTTTTAAAAAACCAACAAACAACATTTTAATGGGGGCTGGAGAGATAGATGGCTCAGGGTACGTGCTTTCGTAGAGGATCCAGGTTTGCTTTCCAGTGCCAACAATGCTTATAACCATCTGTTGGTAGCTCTGTTTCTTGGGGGTCTAATGCCCTGTTCTGGCTTCTGTAGGCACTTGTGTGGTGCATGAACATACATGCAGGTAAAACACTCATATACATAATTTTAAAGATTTGGCTACATTCCCTACTAAACAGCAAGGTACCCACACTCCCTAACTCCTCTCACTTCTGTTGATGTTTATATTGTTTGTCTCTGCCTAACTAAACAGCACTAAGACTCTCTTCTACCTTAGCACAGTTTAAGTCATAGTCACTAGATTTGTACTTCTTAAATACAAGAGGAAATGAAGCTTCAAGCTGTTGACTCTTTTATAAACCTGACTGTTTTCTGATTGCCTTGCAAATGAATTGGTTGGTTCTACCACTTTCCAAGTGTTCACAGAATGCCCTGCTGAAGGCTTAGGTGAAACAGCAGACTCTCCCCTGCCTTAGGAGCTCACGGGAGTTGAAGTTCTTGCACACATCCGCAGAGGAGGGGCCACCCTTACTATAGGGAGCTTCTAAGAGCACTGTGTTACTTTTGATTTTACTGATGTTTGCCAATGGAGGATGTGCCTCACTGTCAGGGAAATTAAAAAAGATTAACATCAAGGATATACCATACCAAAGATTTTCTTTTTATAAAACTGGTATTGGGGACAGAACTCAGGGCCTCACATATACTAGGCAAATGCTTTACCACTGAGCTATGTCCCCAGCCCTCTTTTTGTTTTTATTTTGAGATATGGTCTCAGTAAGTTGCCTGAGCTAGCCTGGAAGTTACTCTGTTGCCCTGCACTTTTGTTCTTCCTATCTCAGACTTCTGAGCAGCTGGGATTATAGACATATCCTACAAAACCCATCTCAGAATTCTGTCATGTTTACAAACCCTGATTTTGTTACTGGGGCTTTTCTGCCACTGTGCATATAACTTAAATAGTGATCCTGTTGTTCCTGACCATGAGAAAGAGCCCATGGTAGTTGGGTGGTTTGACCGACTGAGATGAAGCAAAAAGGAAGAAGGCATGAGAGGGAGAGTGAAGGTCTGGAGAGCAGTAGACCAAGGGCTTGGAGCCAGCCTTCCTCTTCTGACAGGGCCAGCGCAAGGGTTGCGATTGTATGTCTGACCTGGATGCATCACCTGTCCTGCGAGAAGTAGGGGTTGGGATCGTATGTCTGACCTGGGTGTTTTTTACCCCATGGTTTGTTAGAAGTCCTGATTTTTTTCTTGGGTTTATTTCATTGTGCAATGCACAGTCATGTCAGGCTGACTTTTCCATCTTTTCTTAACCATTCAATTATTCAGTGATTAAGATTTTTCCCCATCAGTATCACAGGGAATATTGGTGAGCGTTTAGTTTGTTCACCCAGTTGCACCTTCCTGCTTCATGGGGAGGGGTACAGAACACTCTGTCTTCCTGTCTCCCCACCTTTCCAGACAAGAAAGCTATTGAGCTAAGGAGTGGATATTTTTTAAGATGAGAATTAAAAAGCGAATTCTAGGTTTTGAACAGATGTTGTCTAAGTAGGTTGAGTAATTCCTTTCCTGGGGAATTGGTGATGAGAGATGAAGAGAAATGAGGGTAAACTGAGGCTGAATGAGGCACCAGATGAAGCTTATTCTGTGGATGAAGCTTATTCTGGTGGACTATGGAGATTTCCAGAAATGGGAGCCTCTTGGATGAGTCCCTCAGAATCACATTGCATTTTGTGTGGGTAGCAAGGGGCAGGCAGAGCCCTGAGCAGGGCTCTGTCCTCATGACTCAGATGTATGACTCACGTCTGGTCTCCTAGTGCTGCCATGTGACCTTGCTAGCCCTCGATGGAATATAGTAAAACTGAATCACAGTTTCTAGAAAGCTCTTAAGTATATGGCAGGAAGTTATGCCTTCTAGTCAATAGCTGAAATCTTTACAGATGTTTTCCTCCTTCTACCTCCCAGGAAGTTTCCTTCAGTCCTTAGGCCAGGCATATTTTTTTGAGACCAGTGTCTTCTATCTTTGTGTTCAACCTTGCCCGTGCTTAACTCTGTCTCCTTGCAGTTTCTTCATAACTTACAAACAAATCAACATTTCTGCTTTTCAAACTATTTTACAAAGCTGATTTTTACAAACCATTGTTTGTGAGATGTGGTTTTCCCGAAACAATCCATCTCAGCATCCTGCAGGACCCTTTGCCACACAGGTCATCTGTCACCTCCCGTCCTCTTCCTCTGGGCTGTTCCTTCCTCTCCTTTCTTCTGTGAGCTGAATTGTTTTATGTTAACTTGACACAAGTTAAAGTTATCTGAGCAGAGGAAATCTCAGCTGAGAAAATGCCTCAATAAGATGGGGTTGTAGTCAAGCCTATAAGGCATTTGTATTTGTTTGATTTTTTTTTTGAGACAGGGTTTCTCTGCAGCTTTGGAGCCTGGACCTAGCTCTTGTAGACCAGGCTGTCCTTGAACTCACAGAAATCCACCTGCCTCTGCCTTCTGAGTGCTGGGACTCAAGGCCTGTGCCACCACCACCCAGCTATAAGGTATTTTCTTAATTAGTGATTGATGGGGGAGGACCTAGCCCGTTGTGGGTGGTGCCATCCCTGGGCTGGTGGTCCTAGTTCTATAAGAAAGCAATCTGAGCAAGCTCTGGGGAGTAAGCCAGTAAGCAGCACCCCTCCACGGTCTCTGCATCAGCTCCTGCCTCTAGGTTCCTGCCATGTTTGAGTTCCTGTCCTGACTTCCTTCAGTCATGAACAGGGATGTGGAAGTGTAAGCCAAATAAGCCCTTTCCTCAAGTTGCTTTGGTCATGGTGTGTCATGACACCATAGCTGGAACATTCTGGGAGCCTCTGTCCCATCCGTCTTCTTGCCTTGGGAAGCCGTTCTGCACCACATGATCAAGGAGCCACAGGCCCATGGCTTGGAGTCAAGTCCTAACTGCTACGTAGTTGCTTGATGGACACTGAGTGACTGGCTAAGCTGGAGTCGTTTTCAGAATTGCGGCTCCCTGAGACAGTCTCCATGGCACCCCGCAGAGCACTGGGCCCTTTGCCGCCCTCAGCAGAGAGCTGTTGCCCTTCTGATCCGAATCCTTGTTCCACCTACTTTTCCCCACCTTATTATTGTGGTTGCGATGTCCCCGTTCCTGTAGCCTAGCCACCGTCTGTATGACCTTGTCACTCACAGCCTGCCCTTTCCCCTGCGTGCCTGCAATGGACAGACGCAGGGTCGCTGTCCAAGTCTGAATTCCAAGCCCAGACCAGCGGCTCCGACTCGGTTCCTGCCCATCCCCCGTCTCACGGTACTGCAAAGTTGCATTGGTTCAGTTCCTTCTTACCGTCTCTGCTGTTAGTCCGGGAGAGTCTTGGCTGTACTCTTAGATAGTCTGTTCCTTTACCCCCATCGCTGTCAGTCACAGTGCTGAGCAGAGCTGACTTGTTCCTGGCGCCATTGCCTACAGCGTTCTTTATTGACTGCAGGCTCAACTCTGCTCTTCGCGTTAGCTTCTGGAGACCTTTCCCGTGCTGACTTTCCTATCCAACCTGATGCTTTTCCCAGTCTGCTGTAGCACTTAATCCTTTCCCCAAAGGCACAGATCATTTTCTTCTTGTGCGCTTTAAATCATGCTGACAGTTAACCCCTGCGACTGTCTATTTTTATGACATTGGCGACTTTACAGGCAGCCTTTCAGTCTCCCTTGGGCTGTCCCCGACCTCAGTTTCTTCTCTCTCCCGTTCTGTGCTTTCCCTGGCATATGTGTGACTCTGACCAGCCTTTCACCTGCTTGCTCGGCTGCTCTTGGCCACTGATGTGCCTGCCGCTTTCCTGCTTTAGGCATCATGGGAGATTAGTAGGAGCACTTCATGTAGCAATGGGAAACAGGAGGGCTTGGAAAGAGGAGCGCCCGTCATGGCGCTTGTCTGGCGCACAAGTTACCAAGTGTTCTCAGAAACCTCTGAGCTGTCTGAAGACTCCCAGATCTATAGGCCTGAGACTCAGTATGAAGTCTATGTAAACTGGGAGCTACACTTCCAACTGAGTGTTTAGAGCGGGGCATCACATTTTAAAGCAGGCTCAGATTGAAGTGGGAGAGCCTTAGCAAGGAGGAAGCCTGCAGGCCTGACTGTGAAGCAGGCGGCCTTGGATACTGTTGTCGGCGTCTGGGTGTCTCCTCCCCTTCACGGGCCCTGTCACTTCTCCCCGGTGCTCACAAATCCTACCAGATGGTGAATTTACTTAGAGGTCAAACTCAGCACCGAGCAAAGGGAAACTGGACTGTCGGTGTTACTAGCTTTCTGACGTTGGTCACAGTGTGAATAATACTGCCGTTCTGTCTGTCCCAGGTTCTCAGAGGCACCGTGACTGACTTCCCGGGATTTGATAGCAGGGCTGATGCAGAAACTCTTCGGAAGGCCATGAAAGGCTTGGGTAAGTTGCACCTGTTCATTCTAAAAGACCAAGAAAACAGGTGGAAGGCGTGTACAAATTCATTCAAATAATGCAATGGTGTCTTAGACCATCCTGAAGATTCATTCTCTAGAATGTGATATGCAAGTGACATCAGCTCTGTATTCTGGGATCGCCAGTCCAGCTTACACATAGTATGAGGGAAACTGGTAGCTCGGGGGCCTTGCCCATCACGTGTCCACGTCTCCTGCTTCAGGGCCCCCCCCCCCCCCACTGCCCCAGTATCTTTCTAACCAGTTTCTGACCTCTTGAGGGCTTTTGTGTGTAACTGGCTGATCTGCTCTCAGACTTCTACACCGGATTCTCGTTATCCTCACCTTGAAAGATTGCCCATGGCATCCCCAGGTGCCGTTTCAAACCCATCTCCCACTGCTGCCTGGTATCTCGGATCCAGCCAGGCCTGGCTGTCTGCTATGCATGCAAGTCCCACACTTTTCTATTCTGTGAGCTTTCACTTTATTCTAAGCCTGTCCTTACATGGCTGCCTTTCAGAAGTCTTCATCTGTCAAGACTCTGTTGGGTACCTCCTTCCCCCAAACTCCTCTCTACTCTTGTTGGCCAGAAGACCCGACTTTGCGTCTCATGTAGCACTGGAACCTCCCTAGGGTATTTGCCGTTCTGCGTTAGCTCACAGCTCTCTATAGCTTTTTAAGTTTTCCACCCGAAATTATCTATAATTTGAAGCCAGGCACTATGGTTTTTTTTCTTCTCTCTTTTCCCGATACCCAACACATTATGCTTTGTGAATAGCTATTACTTGGGTAACTGTGTAACTATGCGTGAAAGGTAGGCACACCAATATTTTAAAAGCCAGGAGTGTTTGTCCAACTGAGGATAGAAGGTTAGGTTATGTGCATGTGTGTGTGTGTGTGTGTGTGTGTATGAAACATGATAGTTAAATCCTCTTTTATATTTTCTTTTGTGTAAGCTGTGTCTTATATTTTTATAGAGTGCATTAAGAGCACAGAGTGACTGCTGAGCTAATTGGAGGTTGCTTAGAAAATAGGTGTGTGGGAGGCAAGCTGTCTTTGTTAACCATCAATTCCAGGCACTGATGAGGAGAGCATCCTGACCCTGCTGACGTCTCGAAGCAATGCTCAGCGCCAGGAAATCGCTGAGGAGTTTAAGACTCTGTTTGGCAAGGTAAGACCACGACCCAGCCAAGGTGGGAGTGGGAGTCCAGCTGTGGCTTTTAAAAGAGTTTGAGAAGTAAAACAGTCACCCCAGATCTGTAAGGAAGTTTTTCAGGACCCCTCCTCTCCACCTCAAGGACAGGAGAATCCTTAGATGCTTATGCCCTCAGGAATGGCACAGGGCTCTCCTGTAACTTGCTCACCTCCTTCTGATGAGGTTAAGCTGTTCCTGGCTGATCAGCAGATCAGTAGATGACTAATAGAATACACGCCTTGTACCAACACATTGCCATACGGTGTCGTTTAGAAGATAATAAACAGTCTCTCACAATTGTCTTTCCTTGTTTCATGCTTTTGGGGTGTAAAGGTATTAGTGGCCCATGTTGTTAACTGCCCTTGTCCTTCCTCTGTTTCCATTATCTATTTATTTTAGGTATATATCTGTATTACAATAATAGGTATATGCCTGTATTGCAATAGCTATGAGCCTGTATTGCAAAAATAGGTATATGCTTGTATTGCAATAACAGGTATATTCCTGTATTGAAATAACAGGCATATTCCTGTATTGCAATAATAGGTATATTCCTGTATTGAAATAATAGGTATATGCCTGTATTGCAATAATAGGTATATGCCTGTATTGCAATAATAGGCATGTGCCTATATTGCAATAATTTTAATATATTTGATTTCAGTTCTATTTGATTAACAGTTCAAAGCAAAAGATGAAATCTTACTGAATGAGAACATATGTGAAATACCATAATGTAGTTTTGTTATTCTGACAACTTACACTTGGCATTTCACTGAGAAACAAATGCAGTGCGGAACTAGGAAGTGTCCTTTTGTGTTTCTGGGTGGACTCCAGGACCAGTGTTCTCTAGGGAGCTGCAGTGTAGCCCATTGGTAGAAGGTGTCTAATCCCAATCCTGCTGCCTGGTGTGCTGGAGAAATACTGTGTTCCTTTTCATTAATGATTGCACACATTCCCACACTAAAGGTACCCCAGCATATGCCTCTCAAAGCATAACAATGTTCATTGACTATATATTGGAATGTTAATAATATACATTAGAATTTTATAGTAAAAGAAAAGATATTGCTTGGATCTTATAAGCTAAATCTTGCCCCTAAGAATATGTTTGTGAGTTTTGAGAAAATTTCTTTTGCTTTTTTGTCTTTTTCTTTCTGGTGCTGGAGGTCCAACCCAAAACCCTATACATGTGACACAGGGCTCTGTCACTGGGGCGTTCTCGCCCTTTGGGGGAGCTTTGCTAATGATATTTCTGAAAGGACATTGGAAAACCATGTGTACTGAGAATGCATGCTTTACATGGCCCACGTGCTCTGCCACAGAGCAACTTTGCTTCTTAAACTTTTGGTTTTTGTGCGTGGGCTGAGACAGGGGACTTGGGGATCTTGAGGCAGAATCTTGCTGTGTAAAGCCAGACATAGTGTTGTAGGCCTGTAATTCTGGATAATTCAGAGGTTGAGATGGGACCACAAGTTAAAATTTTACTTGGAGCCAAGTATAGTATCCCAACACTTGGGAGGCATAGGAAGGTGAATCTCTGTGAATCTGAAGCCAGACTAGTTTACAAAGTGAGTTCTAGGACAGCCAGAGCTACATAACAGTGAGAGACCTTGTCTCAAAAAAAAAACCCGGGGGGGGGGAGGAGAGGAGGAGGAGGAGGAAGAAGAAGAAGTAAAATAATGATGATGATGATAACAACATTCCCACCTGGGGTGCAGAGTGTATTTAAGAACAGCCTGGACAGCTGCCTCAAAATTTATAAAGAGCTGGGAATGTAGACTGACTGTAGGGTGCTTTCCTGGCATGAGGAGAGCCTGGGTTTCATCCTAGTATCAAAATTAAAGAGTCACATATTTCTAGGCTGACTTCTTGCCACAGTCTCCCATATACTGGAGTTACAAGCATATGCTAACGCACATATTAGCCTGCTCTGTAAAGGTATTCCATTTTATTTTAACACTCGAAGTTAAGGAAGACATCTTTAAACTCCTTCGTAGGTAAATACCGCTGGTCGAGGTGTGGGTAAAATGTCGAAGTTTCATTCCTTAGGGCGTTGTTTAGCACAAATAGCGTCTGAAATACTTGAAGAAGCAACGTAGAGAACTGGCTAGAGCAAAGCCGTCCTTCCTGTGTGGGACGAACGTGGTCACTGAGTTTGTGTTGTCTGAGCTAGGACCTTCTGGATGACCTGAAGTCAGAACTGACTGGGAAGTTTGAGAAGCTGATTGTGGCTCTGATGAAGCCTTCGCGGCTCTATGATGCCTACGAACTGAAACATGCTCTGAAGGTAAAGGGCACACGCATGGGGCCTTCTTTCTGCCTGTGTTTTATTTGACTAATTTCAACAAAGGATGCTCAGGAGACAAAACTGTGGGAGTCAATAAGAAGTAAAGGGGTGTGTCATTTAATCTTCTTGTATAGTTAAACTCAAAAATACTGTCTAAAATTTTAGCGTGGTGGAGTTCTATACTTCCATTTTATCTTTAGGCTTTGGAAAGGTTACAGATGAGATATTTTAACTTTTAAAATAAAAAGGCAGAAGTTGACTGCATTGAAACATTTGCTCAGATGCTGACAGGAGCGACTTGTCCTAAGTGGGTTCTGAATCGGTAGACAAAGTAAGCAGCTCAGGGATCCCACCCGCACAGCAGAAGGACAGGAATCACCCAGACAGGAGGCTGAATTTGCTGAGTGTCTGTGCTGTTCTGCAATTACAGTTTTGGAGCAAATGACACCTTAGGACCTTGAGAAAAGGGCCTTTTAACAGAATACATCTCAAACACTGTGAACAACTCAGATTTTCCCATAGGACGAACTTAGGTATTTTATTGTTTGAGTTTTTGAAAAGAAGCAGAAATAGAAACTATGTTATCTTAAACAGAAAACCTAAATTTAGCCGCATTGCTGCTTATCTGTTCTGACGTAGCAGGGTAGGCATGACGTCTATAAACACAGAAAGGGAAACCAGTTAAAACTGTTTGTCAGAAACAGAAAGTGAGTTCCTGCAAGAGACCCCATTGTCGGCCATCTTTCTGTTCTGCTACCCGAGACAATCTGTCTAGGCAATAAGGGTTGATTTTGGCTCATGTTCACAAATAACTGGCCCCAAGGTTTTTGGCCTGTACCTAGGCAGGAGCCCAGAAAGAGAAGAGACAGTTGTTGTCTCATCATCTCCTTTAAAGACATCCTCCAGGGACCTAAAAGCTTTTTAAGGTTTGGTTAGCAGCCCCTGGTGCTATCTGGTGACCAAACTTTAACATTTGGGCTTTTAGGAGGACAGCATTGAAGATCTTAACTTTAACGTTATGTTTGATGGATATAGAAAAGTAAACTTTAGTTTTTTGTTGTGCAAAATGAAAAGTAAAATAGAATTAGATAGAATCAGATTGCCACTGGAAAGAAAATTAGTGTAGAATTTGTTAACTCTGTAGTAATAGACCACGTATACAAAGAAATCCATGTTTTTTGGATATTTTTGTAATTATGAAATTTGGATAACATTCAGGGAAATAGCTTTCCTTTTTTATTTTATTGATATGTTTTTGCCATTAAAAACAAATCTTCCAACAGGGAGCTGGGACCAATGAAAAAGTATTGACAGAGATTATTGCTTCAAGGACACCCGAAGAGCTACGGGCCATCAAACAGGTTTATGAAGAAGGTAAGCAGCTGGAGGCCACCGCCTTCCCATCCTCATGTGGCTGTGGCCCCTTGTAGTTCTGATTGTTGACTGAATGAACTGTGAGTCCGTCAGGCTGTTCTTCTTCAATAACAACAGACGGCAAACAAAGTAATCAAGGAACAAACTTGACAACACCTGTAAGGGAGATGCAGTTTGTTTTTGCCTGAGACTTGCAGACACTATAGGAATAGCCTGGCCTTTTCTTCTATGTTAAGTTTCTTCAAACAAATTCAACTTTATGCTAGACGTTAAGAGCTATGTAGAAGACATTTTGGGAGCAGGAAGAAAGACTGAAACCCTTTTCCAGATTGGAGTTGATAAGACATTGATAAAGGTATGTTTTTCATCTGCTGGGAGTGCTTGACTAAAGTGTCTTGTATTTTTGGATGTTAGTTTTCATGTAATCTATTTTTTTCATCTGTGAAAACAAAGTCTGGATTTTAGTCTAGTTCATATGTCAATTCTTTGAGTGTATTCAAGTCCATGAAATGAAAATGAAGAGAGTCTGATCTTGCCCGGTTTTTATGTCATTGGACTCAGCCTGGAATGTTAGCCAGTGATCGGGGCTCTCTGTGGGCAAAGCTTATAGAATTTAGATGTGATGTTGTTAACCCACCAGGTAAGAACAGTGTGAAATCTATGGCTACTAAACCATTACCCGAGTCTCTCTTTCCAGCTTCTCTTTGTAGCCAAGGTGGTGGCTCCCGCTATGGCTGAGGTGACACACATATCTTGAAGTGGCAGTTTATCTGCTGTCATCTTCAGAGCTCTCTGTCTAGGGTGCTGATGCTGAGGCCTGAGCATCTCTGATGCTGTAATTGTGCTGGCTGCATCCTGCTTAGTGTGTTTCAGGGCACGACTCTGTGTCCACTGCTGCCCCGAGGACATAGAAGGCATGCACAGTTCTTGTCCTCCGTGAGGTTAGAGTCAGTAGCTAAAGGATGATGAAATTTAGAAAGTCACGCATGAAAATATTAATTCAGAATGCAGACAGGAGGGAGAGGACATCGCAGATGGGTCTTAGGGAGGCTTCATAATACAAATGAGATATTTGGATTTCAAGAGTAGGTGACGTACTGAGTGTTCATTGAAAAATGCGTGGAAGGAACGAGTCGAACGTACACACAGTGCTACTTTATCTAGCCTTAAATGTGGAACTTCCGACATTGGCGTAGCACAGATCAACATGGAAGGCATTATGTAACTTAAGTGAAGTGAGCTGGGTGCAGAAAGACAAACACTCTGTGAGGACATCACCTGGGTAGGCTCCAACCAAGTGATAAACAGGTAAAGCTGTAGAGTAGGAAGTAGCATGGTGTTTGCCAAGGCCAGACAGGAGAGACGGTGAAGAGAGCTGGTGAGAGATGGTGCTCACCGGGCAGTGAGGCGGGGGGACGAGTTCTGGGGATGCGGTTGGAGCGTGGAGACTATTCGTAGCACCGTATTGTACAACTGAAATTTGCTAAGGAACTAGAGCCTGAGTGTTTCACCATTCACAGGAAGCTACATGGGGGCACCAGTAAGCATTTCACAGTGTATCAAGTACGATGTATACCTTAAATACACACATTTATCTGTTTATTTATTTATTTATTTATTTATTTACTATTCCTTGTCAGTCAGCAAACTGGGGAGGAAAGGCTAAGATGGGTCTCCAGTACTAAAGGTAGCTTTGATCATCAGTTACCATGGACCCTGTGCTGAGGAGCACAGACTGGGGGATCTAACGGAGCCTGACTGCAGGGAGGAGGGCACATGTGTGTCTGTCATGGGTTGGTAGGGCGTGTAGTGAATCTGCCTGCCTGGAAGATGAACACGGCTGTGAGTCGGCCGTATAATGGCTGATGAAATGTTGAAGGAACAGTTGAAGGAGGGAAGGGGGTTTGAGGCTGGATGTGTATTGTATCGATAGCTCTGTAGGGAGGCAGTGAGGAAGTTGTATAGTAATTATGGCACCACCTCCCCGAGGTTGCGGGGAGGTGGTGGCATGAAGAATGCAAATCAGAGCAGCCAGTGTGTGTGGGGGATTTGGTAACTAATTACGGGTACTGGAGTAGAGGAAGGAATCGGATGCTTACAGGCTTTGTGTCTGGTTCTCACACATAGAAGGGTCAGGTTTTTGAAATATTCCTCTTTCAACCACTGATTAAATATTTTGATGCCTTATAGCAAGACCATTTTAAAATAGCAGCTTGAGAGTTAGCTAAAGGGTCTATGACTCAGAAGGGCTCAGTTCTTCCTTCCTGTGACCTCAAGTTGAGGATTTGGAACCTGAGGTGGGGAGGGGGGGTCATACTTTAAAATGTCATTGCTGTCTGTCAGAAATAACTTAATTGCTGCAAAGGGAAAATATCTTATTAGTGGGAGATATGACCATGCAAAGACAAGAATTCTGAGGATGGAAAACATCTAGCAAAAAAAAAAATCTCATTAAATATTCGAAGAAGCAGAACTTCAGTTAACGATTACCATGCTTTTAAGCTTCACATGGTCCTTGTGTGTGTGCACTTACTAACATTTGGGGAGAGCATTTCTAAGTGGCTGTCATAATTTAGGCTTGAGTGAATGCTTTTGGGGGAGGTTAATAGAGCCCATTTTCATTCAGCTGCTCACTTACTGAGTTTGCCATCCGTGTTTAGAGTGCTCATTGATGGCATAGAGAAGGTTTTTGTTAATCAAATATACATGTCTTCCTGTATGTCTTGTTCATTTGTTTAATGGGGCAGGGTTTTTCTAGTTGAGAGATGCTATGACCAAGTGTGAAATCATTGTTTTGCAGAATACGGTTCCAGCCTGGAAGATGACGTGGTTGGGGACACCTCAGGGTACTACCAGAGGATGCTGGTGGTCCTCCTTCAGGTACTGGTAGAGACTTAGCAGAGTTGACTAAGGAGTCGGGTTGGAATGACATGCCTGTATTAAATGAAGGCCACTTAAAAATCTTTCAACAATTCCTGATATGTGCAGATTCCCACTCTGATGCGCACATGATGCCTGTGCTTGTTTGTGCTTCAGAATATCAGATTCAGACTTTAAAGAGCCAACTCATTCATTAGTTTTGGGCAGCTATATGCAGCCTGTTCACCCATAGACTTTAGAATCAGCAAGGTTGTGCTGGTTTGGATGCTGCTTTGTGACAGTGCAGCACGCTGTAGAGGTGATATGATCTCAGCACTGTAGGGGTGATATGATCTTAGCACTGTAGGGTTGATGGTATGATCTCAGCACTGTAGGGGTGATATGATCTTAGCCCTGTAGGGTGATATGATCTCAGCACTGTAGGGGTGATATGATCTTAGCCCTGTAGGGGTGATATGATCTTAGCACTGTAGGGTTGATGGTATGACCTTAGCACTGTAGGGTTGATGGCATGATCTTAGCACTGTAGAGGTGATATGATCTTAGCACTGTAGGGGTGATGGTATGATCTCAGCACTGTAGGGTTGATGGCATGATCTTAGCACTGTAGGGTTGATGGTATGATCTTAGCACTGTAGGGTTGATGGCATGATCTTAGCACTGTAGGG